GAATTTAATAAATTATTATATTACACCATATAATTTTCCGGTAAAAAACCGTTTACGTCCCGGTTATATTATCTTTTTTATTTTTAAGCCTTATAATTTAAACTTTATTAAAATTATTAAAAGATTAAAAATATTAAAAGATTTAAATATAAACGTTAAAATAAATATTTTAAAAAAAGAAAAATTGGTTTATATATAAATTATAATATTTATTAATAATATACTTTAATAAATTAATTTTTTATTACCATTACCCATTTATAACAATAATTAATTCCTATAATAAATTAAGAATAATAACGTTAAAAACCTTTAAAATTAAATTTATTACTGCAATTATTATATTAACATAAATTAAAAAAAATTTAACTATTAAATTTATGGTTAATATTATTACCAAATTAAATTTATATAAAAAAAAATAAAACGTTATTAAAAAGTAAAACGTAATAAATATAGCCAATAATGGGAAATAAACAATCTTTACTTAACTTTAAAAATAATTAATAAATATTACATATTTTATTTAAAATATAATATGTAAAAAACATATTAAATTAATTTAAAATAATAACACTAACATTAAACATTATTTTTACTTAACCATATAACCTATACCATTCTAAATTCGTAAATTTTTTAAATTTAACACATTTTCTTTTCCAAAATAATATTTTAACTATAAACGTTATATAAAAATACACTTTACATCTTTATACCTTTTTATTACCACTTAAAACTCAACGTTTATAATTACCAAAATATCACCTTTTTAATTACAAAATATTAACGCATAATTTTTAAGGTAAAATCATACCAATTTTCTTTCAAAATTAACTTCGGTTTAAACATTTAAAACCAAAATTTTAAATATAAACTAATAAACATAATAAATTAATTAAGTTTATTATTATTACATTTACTATTATAGCAAAAAATATAACAATTTTAATAAAAAATATAACAGTTAATAAAAACTATAAAAATTTAAAATAAATTATTACTAATAACCAAAATATATTTAATTAACTATATTATATTACATTAATAATAATATTTTTACATGTTAATTCTTTTACTTTTTAAATTAAGTTTTAAACAACAATTTATATTTTTAATACATTATAAACCAACTTAAAAATCTAAATAACTATTAAACCAAAAAATAAAAAAAAAAATTTTTTATATATAAAAAATATAATATAATTAAATATTTATATAATAATTTATTACCATAACTTTATAACAAAATATAAAATAATAATTAATTATAATACGTTAATTAAAAAAGACTTTTATTAATAAATTACCCTTTTTTTTTTTCTAAATTTAAATTAACTTATAAAACGTTTAAATCCAATTAAACAAAAATACTTTATATTTAATACTTAATAGTAAATGGTTATAAAAAATTTATTAAACCAAATTTATTTATTACTAAATTAATTATTTATATCAATTTAAATTTAATTTTAATTTTATTTAATATTAATTAATCATTAATTATTTAAATAATTTAAACGTTAAATATATAAAACTAATTATTTAAATATTAAAAAAATACTTTTAATAAAACTTAATATTTAATTAATTTTAAAACTAATATTATAAAACACTTTTAAACAAAATAATTTTAAACTTACCAATAACATTTAAACGTTTTATAAATAATATTTTACTTTATTTAAACATATTTTAACTTGTTTAAATCGTAATAAATTAAAATAAAAAATTAACATTATATTTAATTAAAATAAATTTAAATTTAACATTTTTTCGTTAATTAATAAAAATTATTAAAACTTTTTTATTATTAATAAAATCTTTTTTAAAAAAATAATTAACTTAACCCATTTTATTTAAAATAATAACCTTATACTTATTAAAATAAAATAATTATTAAAACATTTTCTTTAACAACTTTAATCAATTTATTATCGGGATTATAATAAGGCGTTTTATTAACCATTTTATTACAAAAAAAAAAAAATGGTATAATATACTTGTAAGGTAAAATTTAATTAATTACTTATATCTTTTAAGTAAATTTATACCTCCCTTTAAATAAATTAACACAAACCATGGTTTATTTCACTAATAATATTAAATAAATTTTTAATAATTAATTTTAATATTTTTATTTTATTAAAATAAAATTTATAAAATTACCAATTAAAAAATTTAATCTTTTAAAATTAAAAAATAAATTTTTTAATAACATTTGCCAAAATAATTAATTTTTAATCCAAATAAATAATTTAATTATTATTAAAAATAATTTTTTAATTAATAATCTTTTATATTTAATTTTTAATAATAAAAAATAAAATTATTTTTTATTATAAAAAAAGAAATATTACAAATTTTAACAGGTATTAAATTAATAATTTACATATAATTTTTATTTTATATAAATAAAAAATTAATATAATATTTAAACTTAATTAATTAATATATAATAATAAAGATTTTAAACGTTTTATTTTTAATAAAAAAGATTTAATTATATATTATAATAATTAAATCGATATTATTAATTATATTTTCTTTTTTAATATATATAAAAAATATTATATCTTTTTAATAATTATATTTTTAAAAAAAATAGGTAAACAAAACAACATTTTTGATTTAAAAATTATAAAAAAATAAAAAAATATACTTATTATAATTAACATAATAGTAATAAATCTTATTAAACTATATATTATTTATATTTTTAATATTAAATATATTTTAAACGATTAAAATATTAAATTGTTATAATGGTTTTTAAATTTTTCCGAAATTGCAATTTTATTTAAAAAAATTATGGATTTTTTTTATTTATAGTAAATTGGTTTAAATTTTAATATTTATGGTTTAAATATTAATATTATTAATAGGTTAAATCTTTTATAAAAATATTTTAATTAAAATAATAAACTTTTACTTTTTATTGTTTTTAAATTAATGGTTTATACTAGTAATAATTAATAACAATTAAAAAGGAATATATAATTTATATTTTTTTATTATTTTTAATACTTAATTAATTTTATTATTATAATATATATATAATTTTAATATAATTGGTAATATATAAATAATATTAATGTAATTAAAATAATAAATGGGATTTATAACTTTAAATATTTATATTACGTGTTATTTTCTATATTAATTTAACGGTATAATAATTATTTAAAATATAATAATTGTTTAATTAATAATTATTATATAATAAATTAATAATTGTAATATAAGATAATCATTATTTAACTTTATAATTATTGTGTACCAGCGTACCCCGCCTTTACGGTATGTTCAGTCCATACCATGAGTAGCATTAAAGCAATATCCTCTACCAGGTTGATTAGTTGAGGCAAGCTAGGTCTTAAACCGTAGCATTTGGATCACTTTAGCTACACCACCTACACCTTAGACTACCGGATCGCTCCAAGATTCCAGGCTCAACAAGTTATCAATTAGACAAGTTTAATCCAGCCCCCTTAAAACACTTGAATTTTCCGACCAACCCAATGAGGTTCAGTCTTCTTATCAAATGAGCCAGCTTATGATGAGACTTAGTTATACCTATTTCGGGGTTTTAACTACACACCCAAAACAACATTCGGCAACTCTACGTGCCGTATAAGAAATGAGCAAGATGGTATCGTGTAATAAGACATATTCGTTACTATCAATCACCGGCACGCGGGAAGGCAAATCAAAGCCATGCTCTTGCAAAGGAACGCGGAACGGCAGCGGAATACGCCGCATAAAACATGTCCACTTAAGCAACCTGCCCTGGGGAAGAATGTTTGATCGGCTGCAAGGTTAACGGTAGTCACAGACAGGATTACGCACAACAAGGAATATCACACGCATGAATCACGAATATTGATGAACATGGTAATAAAACGTGGCAGACACGAGAATCGATGATCGCGATCACTGATCCACGAGATCCCCGGGATACCCCCAGTTGTGGCCGCTCCGTAACGGCCCCATCCTCCCTTTCTGCAATGTTGTGATTCGGCATGCGTTTCATTTCGCAGATGCAGATTCCGGACTGACGGAAATTTGAACCGAGCACGAGCCTAGCATTAACTGTAATTTCACAACCACGAAAACTTAAGGCTAGCTAGCAAAGACCAAAGACCAAAGGCCACCACCAATGGAAGCTAAGATATTTAAAACGTCATATCTTTAGTGTCACACAGTTAGAACTGGACATGAAGGTAAGCATGATGTTTTACTTTGTTTCAATTAAATTTTGTACTTGAATAGCAAGCAGGAGGCTTCAAGCCAACTACAAGTGTAGGTAGTTTTATCTACAGACTGAATCTTATAAGTCGCTAGAGAATTGAGGATTTAGTAGGTATACCTCACTAGGTATACTCCCCCTATACTCTCCTCCGCTCAAGCCCCTAAAGGCCCATTTCCCTAGGTTAGTGGGTTAAATGAGTCCGGGCAACAATAAGAGCTCTTTCTGCCTTGTCGCCCTGTTTTACTTGAGCTTCTCATAATGCAACGTCCTCATATCTTTAATAACATGATGATAAATCATCAAGATATTGTTCCCATGCCCAATGCAGAAATGCTATCTTGTCAAATCCCTCTTAGGAGGATGCCACAACGCTTCATCAATAAGCTTCCAGGGTAAAACAAAAAAAAATCCGGGGTATATCCTCCGTGTCTCGCGTTTCTCGCGTCTTGACGTTCCCAAAAACTCCTAATGAAGAAAACAAATTAATGCAATTAAAAATATATATTGTTGCTGTCGGCGTTGCGCCACGAAGGCAAGAAATCGGGATGAATAAAAAAATGACATCATGTTGATGCATCGAAAAGGGGCGTGAAGCTGACAGGTGAGGTAAAAGGGCTTGCTATTGGCTAGCTAATATGTATGCAGTTTCCAAAGCGAGGCTGACCCTTAAGCAACCTGAACGATGAGAGCGCACGGTCCTCTTTGTTCAGTTTCGTTCCGTCGAAGATCCACGTGTATGATGGTGTTGTTTCTTCGGCGGTGCGCAAGGATAGTCGAGCCGGTCCTTCTTAATTCCCCAAGGCACGTTCGAGGGCTGAAACAGACGAAGCACGTCTAGATACACCCCCCGGTAAATCTCCAAGGTTTGGACGTAGAGGGATGGGATTTGGATGTCAAAAATAGACAGCAGATCATAATTCTCAGCCGACAGCCAATCCGATTGTGCTTTCATTCCGCCGCGACGGAGGCGGCGATAAGCCCGTAAATTGGTCGTTTTCGCCATAAGATAGTCTCGGCGGCGGCGGAAGCGGTGAATTCGAGTAGATACGATGGCTTCGCGCAAAGCCTTCACTCGAGCCCCTAGGAGGCGATGTTTCTACTGCACTATCCCGCCATGAAGGTTCAGAGAAACTTCTTAGACTATTGCTACGCAATTCTTTCCGATTGTTCATGACAGGCGAATTCGGCGGTAGTTTATGCAATCTTGACGGGTGTCGTCTCGGGGCTGGTAGGAATGGGTCGTCTCCAGGAACCGCCTCGTCCGTCAGACCAGATCGTGCATTCGGTGCCCGTGCTAACACTGCCCCAGGAATTTGCGGCAAGTCAAAACTGTTCTTGTCGCCGATAAACGATCTAGGCGATATTACTTCGAGAGACGGCCTAGCACCGTTTTGATATTGGATTAAGCTTGGGGCTCTTCTGGTAGATGTTGATGTCGATCCGTTCTGCGAGTGAGTCGGCCGAGTTGTAAACCTATTAACCTTCTCTGCTGATCGATTCGACTTCCACGTTGCTATCTCGTCGTCACCGATCGGGGTGATGCCTCTGTTAAACATTGGTAATCTTCTCCGCCGATCTCCCGTGCATAAATAAGCCGCCACTGCAATCAAAACTACACCTGCGATGCTCAGAACCGTACTAAGGACGATAGTTGATGTTGAACTTCCACTTCCGTTATCATTCGGGCTGACACTGCTAGGAGTCGGAGTAGAACTAGTCATCGTAACTATTCCGGTAGGTGAGGAAATAGTGTTAGAATTTGGCACAATAGCTGTGGCTTTAGAGTTTTCACTCGGTGTCAAGCTGGTAACACTAGATGTGATTTTAGAGGTAAGGAAAGTGGTCGGTGAGGGTAATCCCGCCGACCGAGAATTTGTCGTAATGATAGTCGTGAGCTGGGCTGATGGAGTTTCGGGCAAAGCTACAGTAGTTGGAGTAGTTGGTGAAGCGAGAGTGAGTATTGTTGCGCCAACCACAATTTCAACATCAACAATAGTCGGTGCCGCTACTGGATTAGCAGTATTTTCTGCCGGTGGCGATAATTCCACTGGAGGAGTTGGACTTCCAGGAGCGGGCGGGGGTGGCGGGTCCGGAGGACCGATACCGTCAAGACCTTGTAGGCCACGCTCCTGCTTCGTGATGCTCGACGGAGTGGTAACCCGTAACAAAGTAGCTACCAGTGAAGGTGCCAGAGGTTCTGTACGAAGGAGTTAGCAAACCGGCTTATAAATACTGAGTATCACGGAAATCAACACCGTCTGCCTTGAACGAACCCTTCTGGCTGCTCAGACTTGGCAATGGCAGGACTACCGAAGAGTTCCCACTTGGGCCATTCTGACGAGCATCTAATCGTGAAGTTCGAGCTACACCAGGTAAGCCCAGTAAAAGAAAGACGGTAAAAAATATCATAGCGAGCGTCTCCGGTCATCAGTCTCAGCGCAGCTGGACGAATATCCATCAAAGCTCATCACCCGTTCACCACGTAAATAATCGATGAGAAGTCACATTCAGCCATTGACCCGCCTGGCTGTTATGAAGTATTCGTAGCATGAATCGAGCGAAATTAAGACAAAGAAAACGGCAGCTGGATTGTTAGGGAAAACGGGTAAGAAGAAATCAACTAACACTTAATAAGCGTCTCTCACTCAATAACCTGTTGGAGTTTGAGGGGCGGCGGAACAGGGAAGAATAAGCTTGATATTCAGTTTACAGTAAGTTGGTCTCTTCATGCAAGGAGGAGAAGGGAATCCCCGCTGGAGACCAAAGCTTGAAACAAAGGACTGGCGAAATACGAAATTACAGTATTCCACCCCATATGTATAAGAGCGCAAGCTCTATACCCAGGGTGATCTTTTTGCTGCTGGTCGAAACGGAGCCGTGCGCAGAGGAAATCTACGCTAGGGAGAAATGACTGGAGAGAGGGAGGGGGCAAGAGATCTTGATATTCCCACTTGCGTGTGGAGGAGAGGAGGAGACATTCACCTACACAGACCGGATTTACAAGGGTTAATAATACACCATGCCGTAGAGAAATGTGGACAGCGCACGCCGAAGAGGGTGTGCGGTTGTAATTAAGAGGGGAGTGGATCTTGGTGCGGCGTACATACGACGTAGGTGTGGTATAGTGTACACCATGTATGTGAGTGCGAGCCTGCTTTTAACAAGGGGAAGGGGGAAGCTCTATGTAAGTCCAGGTATGTTTTCGCGCGGGTTGTTTCGAGAACATGTGTGTGGGTATGTATTTCAGGAACTAATACATATTAGACACCCCATCACAGCGATCGACAAGAGCTAGAAGATGATAAGTAGATGAGGCTGGAAAACGGGCAAAAGAAAAAGACTCATTGCTGCTGGATATAGCGGGTTCCCGAAGGACTTATTTAGAAGATTCCTTCGTAATCGATCTACATACTGCAGCACTTCGACCTTGTTAAAGTCGGTTGGGACCTTGGGTTTTGGCTTGCAGACGATCGCCGCCGCCGCGCAGAAGAGCTACTGTAGTGTAGCTGCACCTCATAATACGTCTCTACTTACATACACTAACATTAATCCTAGATAAGACAGGGGGGGTTAGCTTAGGTAGGTACCTACCTATGTTAGGTAGTCTTAGAGTTGACGCCCTCGGATAATAGAGAACCTAGCAAGGGTTGCATTTCATGGCCAGACCCACGACCGCAAAAAGCTTGGTCCACGAAGAAATCCGTACGGTATCAAAGGTACACTTTTTGCCCAGACCCGTCAGGATCAGGAATTTCCTAGTACGGAATTTGAAGGCTTTCTCCCCCAACTTGGCCCCATCACATCCCACGATTTACGATTTACGGATTACTTACATACATGGTGCATACTGTTCAAAGTGCGGTTAAGCTCGGTAGGGCCAGTCGATGTCGAGATAATGAGAAACACGGCCCACGAGACCCCAGGTGTTCGCGGCCCTTCTTTTCAGTCTCTGAGACAAGACCTGGGCTGCAGCCTTTCTTCACCTACCTACTTTGAGGGGTGCGTTAGTACTCTTTCCTCGTAGGGCTTCTACTAAGATTCAGGTACGCGAGGCATAAATGAATAGAGGCTGGCGAATGAGAGATCTAAGAAGGCAACCTCTTCCAAAAGTAGGGTCTCGTGGATTAGGCGGGGTGGTGTGAATAAAGTACACTAGCCTCAGTCGAGTTTAAGAGTCGAGGTATGCAGGGCAGGGCCAGAAAAGGAGGAGAGGAGGGGTTCTCTGGATCTAGCGAATAGCAGCGCTCTCAGGGCCGGGTTGAGCACCTTTTTATTGTCTACCGAAAACGGGACCTCGCATCGGCATCTCTGTCACAACTTGTGGCAACCGGGTTACACGCTCCCACGCATTGAGTATATTAGGCAGGGCCCGTCAAGCCAATCTGACGTCCCCCTCCCTTTCCGGAGCGTCAACGTGCTAGAAACGTGCGTGCTATCGTGAGCGTGGGATTCGTCGATCGCGTGTGCGTCTTGTCTCGGAGGCGTTTGCTTACTCGACTTTTGCCCGCTTGGGCTTGGTGTACCTAAGGTAGGCTGGTAGGAAGGTAGGATGAATGAAACCCGCCGCCGTTCGGTCTTTGCATGTCCTGATTCTACGGTGCATGCTGCTTGCCACTGCATAAGAAATCGGAAGAGCGAGCTAACCAGGCTGAGCTTTTGTCCGTAAATGTGAGTCTAGCATCGTGCAACCTCTTCGGCCAGGTAAGAGTTCTGCCCTAAGCGGACGAGATGTAACAGCCTCCTTCGCAATTGTCTCTAGCCAATATCATATCATCTTCTCCGGCTGTCAATCATGACTTCTATGTTATCGCAGGAGCAGAGACCGGGCTAGGCCACCGACTAGATATGACGAGACATTGACTTATACGGACCGATCCTGAAACAAAAGCAAGCATCTATAATCGCCGGCGTTGTCTCGAATAGAGGATCCATATACCGATGTACGTCATCAATAATAAGAAAGACGAAACAAGCCACAATGCCGTGCTTCAATTCATGTTGTGTTCAAAGAATCGACAACCGGTTTCGGTCTAATTGTTACCCGACCTTGAAGGTGTTGTAACCTCCGTTGGCGGTTCGGTGGTGGTGTGGACTTCCATTGGGCGATCCCCTTCTTTTCGGACCCCATAGTCCGGAACATTTAATCCTGCTTCGATTCCTGATTCCTATTGCAACTACGACACCCTGTCGGGCAAGGAAAGCTACCGAGATCTCCTCACCTATCTAATCGGCCTGGCGAATAGCAGTAGATTGAGCTTAGGTGAAGAGTATTTGACGCTTTCAACCCGCAGGTGATGAAACAAGAGTCAGCCGTCGTGTACGGCTGCCATTGGCCTGGTATGTTGAGCTGCTAATGTGCCCTAGTCTACCTACATGAGCCTCGCCCAACTACAGACTACAGTAGATACATGTAAGATGTACCTACACTCGGGAGCATGGACAGAAGCGTCGTCGGCTCCGAAATATTGAACCGGCCGTTTATTACATATTACGAGCTTCACGAAAAAATATTCCGAACTTTTTTAGTTATGGTGTTGAGAAAAATCGATCAAATGACCAGGCCAGCCAGGCCAGAAGAAGCGGTCAAGCTTAAGAAAATCTCCTGAGGCTCAGAGTGTAAAATTGGGCGAATGCCACAATGTAATTTCACGATAGAAATAAGCGTCGATGGCGATGTAACGGAAGACTTCGCGCGCCAATCTTCTTGGAGCTTAGAAGCTCGAGAAAATCCCAAGATTTGCACGTTGGCCCCCATAATTAACCGTAACCGATCCCGTTAACTCCGTTAGCACTTTAGCTACGTAGTAGGTACGTTCTTTACGGGGATCGGCTGGTCGACTATGCCACTATGGTCCAAGCTCTGATATTTCATACATACACCAGAGATAAAATGATAATCGTCTTTCTCCAGATAAACCAGAAGCATCTGTCTTGAGGTACTCGGACAGCTCAGCCACTCGTATCAATCGTAGTTATCGTACGAGCCGATGTCATTGCTCATTATCCCCAGATTAACGCTCTATATACATACTACATGTCTATATACATACTACATGTCTACATACATACTACATATATACATACATAGCTTTCTACACTAATGCCTACGGCTTACAGCTACGACTAGCTAGTCAGTCATCGTCTGTCTGCTAAGCCGAAGACCGAAAACTCTCCTGTTGATCTTCGTATGTACATACGGGAATGAGGCAAAGCAAGAAGCTTTGGTTTGCATTGCCTGTATTGTGTGTACACTAAAGATAGCAAAAGTTGTGGAGATGGCAAACTCGAAATTGGGAATATCCATTCTCCCTCTCGCTACTCGCTACCAACTCATGCCGTCTCTCGAAGGTTGGGGCGGACAAAGTCATTAATTCTCCGAACCATCGGAATGTTGGTTTAGGGTTGGTTCACTCTGTATTTAGGGCTTACACGTCTTATATTGGTGCACTCTAGTGTATGTACATGGCGCGTGTTGGTTATACGATATCGACAATGCACATCACAATCCTCTTGATAAGCAATCTACTATGCACTTTAGCTGATCGAATAAAGACGGCCACATGACTCGATAGTGAATGCATCCTCGGGGCGTAGCAAGCAAGGGAACGCTATGTAGACTATATGCCTCCTAGGCGGTTGGCTAGCTAAGTACCTAACGTATGGGCATTAAACATGTACGTGACTTACTTACATGCCTAATGTAAGCCAGCCGATGAATTATCGCGTTGTGTAGCACGCTACTCAGCCTTGTCTCGGGAGGACATGAGACAAGCTTGTTCAAGACACGAATATGTAGATTTCGTAAATTCGCCTAATATCTAACATAGGTATAAATGGTACGTTGGAGTAGGTATAAGGTATGCAGTCGAGATTACGTGCAAACGCCCTTGCAGCAGCGCGATGCAGCGTACCTGACAGGTCGTGGGGTTGCTCGGCATGCTGGCTGCACGTCGAATTGATGACGATATATCGAATCTAATTTAGGTTGTCCTGCCGGTCGCTTAACGGGCATTTGATGTAAACATCTGAAGTGCTTGCATATATTATACGTAAAGGTTATTGGTTTTGGAGCTTAACCCGATATTCATCCCTTTGCGGATAATAATAAGGCTCGCTAATACGAGAGAGTATTTGGGGGAATACCTTATGAAGGGTATGCACCTATGTATAGATGTACATAATTCTAAGTGCTCCGTAAGGTGTGGCACGTATGTACCTAACTTATAAGGACTTACGGATTACTAGGCAGCCCTACGCGCTAAACTTACCGATAAGCCACATACGACCCACTCTCCATGTACATCTCTCTCTCCTCATTCGTCCATTTTCTTCTCATCCTTCAACTTCTCAACTTCAATATTGGCAAGCCTACTCCAATATTTCACCGCCAGTCTTACCTTTCTAAATCCTACAAACGTCCCGACGTTCTGGTATGCCTTTGATGATGAAGCACACCATCACGAAGAGTTGCTGAAAAGGGCACTCTGCAGGAAAGATCCCGTGGCCAATATTCGTTCCTGCGCAATAATCTGTCTGTCCCCTCATGCAAGTAGTAAGCCTTTAAGGTACGGCTGAGGACATGCTGTTGATTGGATACCCTACATTAGGTATATTCCTAAAGAAGTCAAAGGGCTAAATCACATAGCTAATGAGCCATAAATCATAACGCCTTGTTCCGGTCATACATGATCACATCAGGGCCAGAAGCAAGATGTATTTCCCGCGTTGCGGTCACGGCATACTACCATATGACCTGCTTAGTATCCTCTGAGTGGAGCTGGTATCCGCCGTCGTTGCGAAGGTGCATAATGACTCGCAGGTCTGCAGCAGGTCCGCAATCGAGCAGCTTGCCCCAGGTCGAAAGATACGTTTCAAGTTCAGCTTGATCTCTCAGCTGCATTATACTGGCCATGCCAATATCAAAATTCATATGTGATAACAGCCACAAAAATTCTACCTATATTCGTAGGAGCTTCGTTGTACCTAGGGTCTCTCTCGGAAAATACCATCTAGCTCGCTATTACAAAGGTACCGATGAGACGTCAGGGTGATCCTACACCAAGACATTCCCTATTCACCACCAACTCTCTAGGCGATGCCTATGTTGCAACCCTACCCTTTGACAAGGTATGGCGGCGGCCAACCCTCCAAACCGGGTTCGCGGCTTAGGCAAGCATTCCAGTTTAGGACGTAATCGTTCGACAAGGCCGAGAGTAAATGCGCCGCCACGGATGCGTAACACGAAGCGCTCGTCTTGATGCCCAACAGAGTTTCCCCGCGTCGAGATGGGCTCAGTCACGCTTACTTCGCTTTTGTACCAGAAATCGATCACCGGCATTCGAAATGAGAACCGATAGAAGGAACAAATTACTGAGATACCCCTTTTTTCTATCACATACATATTAACGACTCAAAAGGTGTACTCGCGAGTGGCGCAAATAATCAATCACGCGTCGTCGAACCAATATCACCGTAATCCTACCTTATGAGCGTAATTACGATATGCCTTCAAGTTTAGACTATGTATAAAGGCCATAGTATATGTGGCAAGAAACTCTATTAGTCAGTTGCGCCGACGTTATGTCTCATCACCCAAGACTATAACACACCGCTCATCGTGAAGGGCCGTTAGGTACCAAAAATTTCGATATACGGACTATTGTAAGCACAATATTGACGGTAGTATTCGTTCCGTCAGCGTATCGGTGACTCTAGGCGCCTTAAATGAGAGCTACTAGTCATTGGGTCTGGTTGTTTATTAATGAAATTTTGACTGACCGCGTGCCATAGAGCTACGCTACTCTCAACCAGGCGACTATAATCACGACTACCGAAATATGTTGAGATACGGATCGCGGAGAGGACTAGCTCCCGTCACGTAGCGATGCTAACCGAAACATTGATGAGAAAAGGCAGTGTATTGCGGGGTGGTCACTATAGCTAGCCGGCTATAAAGTTGCATTCTTCAATGGCACTCTTATGACACCGACTTATTGCCATATACCTCGTGCCTATCATAGACGTCGACCGTATCCACATCAGTGGGAAGAAATATATTATCCGAGTCTTGAAAACCACCATACAATCTCGTCCCTCACGAAGTAGCCTATTTGAAAGGCGCCATCATAAAAGCGCAACTTGATAGGAGTGTAGTTCGAAAGCATAGCATTGGGCAGCGAGACGCTACCCTTGCGTCGAAGTTAGGGGAATTCGTTGTTTAACTCGCCTCAGCGCAATGACATTCTAATCGACTACTATTGCGTATTGCTGTCGAGTAACAACAGTCGTAGGTTTTGCACGCCTTGATGTTTTAATAAACCAGCCACCCACGCAACCGACGGTAACGAATCGCGAAGCTCGAACAAGGGGTTTGCCCATGTGCGGCGCTATTCTACTGGTTCGAAGCAATAAGGTCATTTCACGGAGACACCGCGCAGACGCTCGACCCAGGTTAAGCCAAGGTTCTTCTAGACCAACCTTCTTTGCGGAGATTTTAATTTTACGTTGCATCCCATCCCCCACTTGATCGGTTCACAGGCATGACGTCTCTTTGACCATTTACAGTAATAGATCTCTTATGGTAAGATCCACTTTGGAATTACCGGTCGTGCGTTCATTGCGCGAGTCTCGGCTAGCAAGAAGCTAATTACATAGTGTAGACTGGTGCCGATATCACTGGCTGACAGTGGGATAATGCCGTAACCGCGCGAAGCAAACCTAGTTACTATTCCCAGTTGGAACTACACAATATCTATAACAAACTTGCGAAGTGGGCATCAGAATTTAACTTGTTTAACTAAGTTCCAAGGCGAACGGACATACTAGTCTTCGTTCAGAACGGCCCGTAATGGCGAAAAACTAAGACTGTGGCGCTCCGAACTTCTCGAGTTGTTCGCCCTGCTCATCATCGCCTGGGATGTGAATACGCACTACTGTCCTAAACTCCCAGAAAGCTGGTTCAGCCAACCGTTACCTTTGTCACTTGTCACTTGGCTTTCTGCACCCCCCAACCGCCATGCCCCATCGACGCCGCCATGAACAAAAGCAGATCGAATAAACCCGCCACTACAAGTTACTAGGATGTTGAATGTTATTTGGTGGAGATGTTACTTAAAAGAGTGAGGTATTAAGACATACGAAATATTATGGCAAGATACGCATCTTGTGTTTTCGGGAAGACTTTTATCATCCAAAATTACCTGTTCAGGCAAAGATTAAGCTAGAATCTTCGAACAGTTTTGTATCTTACCATACAAATAAACCAATACGATACTTATTAACTACTTCAAGTAACATCTCCACCAAATAACATTCAACATCCTAGTAACTTGTATTCCATGCATTGTACCGCCGACAAGGATATCCCACCGGACGTCACCCATTCCGGGCTGTGGCACCGGCGCTACATGCCATTTTAGACCCGCAAGCTTTCCCGAATCGGACGGCCTCGATCGCCACTTGGCTCGAATCAGGAGCTCATTGCCGTTTTGGGCCTGACGTATCTTTGCACCCCTTTTCTTCCCTTTTAACCTTTTACCTTATTAATCAGATATATCCTATAATGACGTCTGTTATAGCCCGGCGGCAGGGGAAGTTGGGATGAAGATTAGGTTAGATACTTACGTACGTGAATACAAAGTATTCTAGCATCTTCATTCTACCTACACTACGTATGTAGTGTACAATATTCACAACGTCGATTGTACAATACACATTCCCAACCAAATTCCCATCGTCCCACGTATATAGATTCGCACGTAACATCCCCCGTTCAGTAACGGCGAGTTAACCCGTGCATCCGCAGTCCATGTATATATGTATGCCCCCCAAACCTTTCACGCCTCCCTAGTAAATACATAGGGGACCGGGCACGCGCAGAAGAACACGACGGAAGCTATGGCTGGACCGCGCGAGTACGTGCATATGTAGGTACCTATGCACGCCCATCTCAATATCGAACGCTGCGCCGGTACTTGCGCGGTAAGTTCCGGACGGGCGGTTCCTATTCGCGGACGCCTTGCTGTGCAGCTACGTTAATAGGATTTGTAGTGTATATGCAGGGTACCAGGAGGCCGAGCAGAAGAAGGCCAGATGTCGAATGCCAGGGCCAGGGCCAGGGGCGGCGGTTCTTAGATGCATATGTATGTATGTGTGAATACGCAGGCGGTGGCCTATGAGGCGCCGCGTCCAAGCTGTCATTACTCGCTTGCAGCGCTCGCTTGTCCGGAAGAACCCGATGCTGCGAACTGCAGCCTGTGGTATGTATGTCATGTCGGTACGATACGATACGATACGAAATAAATGGGTTTACTTTGGAGACGGTGGTGTGTCTGGATAGATAGGAGAGCTTTGGCTTTAGGGGGTTTGTCGTCGGTAAGGATACCGAACTTACTTACTTACCTACCTGTAATGGGGGTAGGTTGGGTCGTATCATATGAAGAGTTCGGGATACCTACCTACGGAGATGATCTGGTGAAGAGGCATTAGTAGGCAAGTCAATACGATGCTACTTTTCCAGCGTTAGTGCTGTAGTAAAGTAGGTAGACAGGATAGGTCAAGGAGCTGCTCATGTAGCAAATACCGAACAGATCATGTACCTACCTACCTACTTAGTCCATCCCCTGCCCTTCGAAGCGCTCGTAGAAGCTTGCCAGCCGCTCTCTTAGGAAGTTTACAGGCGGATACCAACCACATCATACTACATAGGTTAGAATATACAACTTGAAGTCATTATACCTACATCTTAGTCAGTCTCAGTCTCTAAAGTCTAGGTTAGAGCCCATATACTACTCGTATCATCATTCCTTCTCTTTCGCGGCCAAGATGTAATATATAGTTCTGCATTATATTGGGGTCAAGTGCGATGTGTTTAAGCATTTGTCTATTTCCTACCTTGATACTCTGAGTACCTGTCATGAGACCTAGTAACTAGCTAATGTTATGTAAGACAGACACCATGGAAAGAATTTTGCAGATAGTACGGATGGCTGAAGAGATCCTGGCTCTGTCGATAAACATACATGTCGTAGCGCTTGACTATATACACATTTACCACCTGTTTCATTCGTGTTACTACCGTCCGTAGTAGCGAAGTCTACGTAAGACCTGTTTCTCGGGGAGAAGTATTTTAGTTAGTAAGTCATCAAGTAGTGAGATGTGAGATCTTAAGGCCTAGGTCAGGACGTAGAACGAGTATGAGATTAGAGTTCACGAGTGACAGTTCTCTATTGTCGACGAAGGCATATCTATTAACTACGCCTAAACAACAGAATCTCATGATCAAGCACTCGACTCTTGTAGCTATGTCGTGTTATCCCTTTATCAAACGACAACACCCAGACCCCCAAATCCATTTCCCTCACTTCGTCAAAATATCTAACCAGCCCTAACAAGCTCCATCTTCGCACCCCTCTTACCCGTCGCCTCATCCTTAACGTCCTGGATACGCACCACCACCTTCATAAACAACTCGACAGTAACCTCCCTGCTCCCACTAGTCTTCAGCGTATACGTGTCCGCATCGAACACGCTCTCCGGCTCCGGCTCCGCCAGATCCCGTAGTCGAATCAAGCCCTCGATACCGAACCTCGGCACCAGGACCACAAACCCGTTGCTGAATATCTTCATCACGAAGCCTTCTTCCTCCGCGACCCGGCCTCGTAGTGATTGTCCGACGTAGTACGCAACGCTGGCGCGGCCCGCGAGCTGCGCGTTGCGGTGCCGCACGTTGATGTTCTTGCACACGGCCTCGAGGCGTCCGCGTGAGCGCACCGATGGGTGCATTGGCTCGTACTCGATGGCGGCTGCGAGTTGGCGGTGGGCGACGAGGTCAGCGTATCGTCGGATTGGACTCGTGAAATGCGTGTAGATCTCAGACGCGAGACCGTAATGTCGGAACTCGGGGAATGCTTGGGTACCTGCGCAGAAGTACTCGGCGCTCATCATGCACCGCGTCGCCATGATACGCACCAGTGTGTTGAAGAACGGCTCTCGCGCATCTACGCATTGGTCTAGAGAGTCGGCCAACGCTTTTGACGAGTCGAAGTGTAACTCGAATCCGCGCTTCACCTTGAGCTGGTTGGCTAGCTCGTCAAAGTTGGTCTTAGGTGGCGCGGCGTGGCGACGTAGGATGGCTGTTTGTGGGAAGGCCTCATAGATTTTACTCGCAACGCTGATGTTGGCGAGTAACATGAACTCTTCTACAAGGGAGTTGGTATCTAGCAGTGCCTTAGTCTTGACGTCAATCGGATCCGAGGTTTCCGATTCCATCTCGACCTTGACTTCGGGCGATGAGAGGCTTAGAGCTCCAGCATCCATTCGCTTCTGTTTTAGTTTCTTCGACAGCATTAATAGCGTTCTCATACCCTGGGTTAGGTCATCCTGTTGAGATGCATCGTCGATACGTAGTTGTGCCTGTTCGTAGCTGAATGCTTCGCGAGACTTGATGACAGACTTGGTAAATCTCACGTTGATGATATCGGCGTCTTGATTGACTTCCCAGAGCACCGAGAACGCGTAACGCTCTACGTACGGTTTTAAGGAGCAAAGGTCAGTACCTAGCAACATCGGCAACATGTCGATACGCTTGTCTACTAAATAGACAGTCGTTCCTCGGATGCTTGCCTCGGTATCCATCGCATTACTCGGCTTCACGAAGTGCGAAACGTCTGCAATATGAACACCGACCTCGAAGTTTCCATTTGGTAGTGGTCTTGCGTGTAACGCGTCATCGATATCCTGACATCCAGGAGGATCGATACTGCAGATAAGAAGGCCCCGAAGGTCCTCCCGATCTTTCCAACCAGGATCGTCGGTGCTGGGTGGTACTATCCAATCGTGTCCCTCCTTAGGTAGGCAATCTAGCACTGTCTTCGGGAAAGGCCGGTATTGGACATCGTACTCGAGGAGTAGCGCTTCAGTCTCCGCGGCCTTGCTCTCTAATTCACCCAGAGACCTGATAAAGTGACCGACGGGGTGCCGAGATTCACGATCCCACGAATCGATTGCGACGAGTATTCGCTTTCCAACAAGCTCGCCAGCTTGCCTTGTACGTAAGCGGATCTTTGGTACTTTCTTATCCATCGGGATTAGGAAGACACTTTCTTGCTTTCTACCTTGGGTGCCAGATTGGCTAACAGATGATGGGTCGACATGACCGACATATTGACGCCAGTTTCGCTTGATTATACCGACCACCTTTGCAGTAGGCTGTGGTCGACCTTCTGTGCTTAAACCATGTGTCTTTTTGACTTGCTCTTGTAGAGCTCGCCTCTCCTGTTCGGTAACCATATCACCACCTTCTTCATTGTCGGCATTCTCATTCTTCGTGATGGCTTCTTCCTCGATAATCTTGGTAGAGGGCTCCTTCCACTGGTCTTGGGGGAGAACTTCCACGACCACAACATCTCCGTCTACTGCACGGTTGATGTTTTCACGTCCAAGAACAATAAGTGCTTTTGGAAACGCGTGGACCTTGATCGAAGCTTCAAGGTAATTGTACGGGGATACATTAAAGATACCCTGATGGAGAATGCCACTCTTGACTCCGGTCATCATCTTTGAGAGGGTATAATACTCGGGATAGAGGAACTCAGAGGTATTCTTATCTCTGGATATGCCTCGCTCCTGTGATTCAGGAATCATGTCGAGTAGTCGGTCTGCGTCCTCGAGTCCTGATACGTAGTCACGTAATGTAGTAGCCGGAATCTTCTCCTTTTTGGCCTTTTCGATATTTAATCTATCGTCTGTAAGCATGACCGTTACCGGTAGCTGTTTGCTCTTGTTCTGGTTTAGGTGGTCATTGTACCACTTGACAGCTTGCCGGACGGCCCTGTCATTCCTGTCGTTGATGGTCTCATCCTGTTCTCGAGGGACGTAGGTCTCGAGTCTGAACTCGTTGAAGAATACGTAAAAGCGTTTGTCTTCACTTTTAGTCAGGCCAATCAGCCGATTATATAGCGGCAAAGACCTGTTGCGTAGTTCCTCTAGGACGGTTTGTAAAATAATAACGTCATAAAATGCAGAGCTCTGCTCGAACAGATCCATAGCATTAAGCAGAGCATTTGTGTCTGGCACAAGGTAATGTCCTTGCGGGAAAGCCTTGGTGCCTGCTGGCTTGTCCGAGAGGACGAACGGGCTTACTTGAGTTGAAGTTAGTCTCGATAACTATAGGAGCTTCTTGCCAACCGAATATGAAAACTCACATTCTCCGCTCGCGTTTCTTGGTGCTGTGGCAAGACATTTTGAACATAGCTTGGAGGAACAAGGAATATCTTGGCGAAGATAGACCTCGCGCACAATCTTTTGGACCTTGCCGCTCTTGGTAGATCTCACATAGGTCTTGCTCGAGAGATTCGGAGAATACGAGTCAGCGCCCTGAGGTCTTTTGAGACTCGTCATCTTGAATATGAGTTTCCGTTTTTATTATTTCAGTTTGGTTCGTCTAGCATTAGCATTCCCTAGTGCTAGAAGTTTGATAAGAAATTTTGTATTCTCAATGTTTAGTAACGAAGGCGATGGCGCGGCTGGATGATCAAATTGCAATGCAAATCGCAGTGAAATTGTACAGCGTCACTAAGCGCGACTTATCGATAAAGGGTTTGATATTAAGCTATTGATTATCTAAGGTAATTAGCTACTAAGGTACTTTCTACTGCCAGCTGTCTATGGCTGTCACCGGTCCGTTATTATGTAATTTATTAATTGAGTTGTTGAATACCATAGCGGAAATGGGGGTTTTCAGAGAACGGTTATTTATAGGGAACGGTTCTTTATTAAAGAACGGTTCCCTGTTTCCAGGCCTCTGATTGGTCCAAATCTGAGAATAGTGGGTCCTAGACCTTAATTTTTGGACCCACTTTTTAGCCGCCGTTTGATACGTGTAAAACCATTCCCTTTTAAAGAACCGTTCCTTTTTTGGGAAGTATTTTTGTTAATTTTACTTAGAAAAAAAAAATTTTAAAAATTTTTAAAAATTTTTTTTTTTTTTAAGTAAAAATTTCTTTTTTGAAAGTAAAAGTTATAAGGGGTAAAAGCAATTAAATTTTTAAAAAATAATTCGATGAGATTGGCCACCTTGTTCCATTAGCTCAAACGTTTAAATACTAAACTTTAAACATTAAACTTTAATAGATTTAATGTTACACAAACGCAAGAGCTTTGGGTTCGAGGATCACGCTTTTTGACTTTTTTAGCTTTTTTAACCTTTTTTTAGCCTTTTGGACCCACTTTTCCGGGAACGTTCTTTAATAGAGAACCGTTCCCCTTTTGAGAATTATTCTTACGATAGAGAACGAGGCATCTATTATGGTATGAAAACTTTATAGGGAACGTTTTTCAATTATCGAACGGTTCCTTGTACCCACCCTACCCCGCTATGGTATATAGAATCACTTTATGTTAGACTCTCTCTCTCACCACCATTTCAATATTGTCAAACCTTGAACTCCAGGATGAAAGACCCAAAATCCTTCTTTACTATGCGAGTAAGTTTTTACGTAAATAGTTGCTATAAATCAAGATTCAACATACCAACTGCCAATTTAACCCATGTAATGTGTGATCCTTATGCCCTTTTACTAATAACAACATCCAAGCATCTCTTCGCTATAATTTCCAAGCATCGATTATACAAGAGACTACCGACGGAAAATAAGATATCCGCATAAGCCGTGAAACTCAATAGGAGATATGTAAACACTTACTACAAGGTTCTCCCCCACTTCCCAGCCCGCCCGGCTCTTCCATCACCTCAAACACGGGCAACTTGCCGGGCGCAAACCCCATCGCAAGAGGAACGCGATGCGGTTGCGGATTTATATTAAATCTGACTCATATGATCCACATATTTACCCGGCAGATTTTCCCGCGGCGCACTGCCTTGTTCTCATTGGTATCCCCCGGTCGATCGACGATATGCGCAACCCTTCAATTTTAAAAATAGCATTATAGCAATTATAGCAATTATAGCAATTATAGCATCTTGTATCTGGTGTTGCCATTAATGCGTCTTTGTCTAGGAGTTTGTGAATATGTGCTGACTTCTTGCAAGGTGAAGATAGGAGAAAAGGGAAAAAACAGGTCTAGGTGATGGAGATATGGAGTCATTCTCACTAAATAGGGCGAGATCGACAATGGCTTGGGAAGTAGGTCTCTTGACGGCAGCAAAGTGGTACGATAGCCTACCTGTTATACGGGCGTATTTCTTACCAACTTCCAAGGTCGGCAGGCCATGTGAATAGTCACGTTTGAACTGGTGTGGTGAGAAAACACGCTACTCCCGCGTTCTACGGTTGCTATCACGGTCGTGAGGATGTGCAAGTGACCGCGAGGGCGCGCAGCGTCTATAGCCTCACTATTCTATTAAGACGCCAGGGAACAGGCAGACTGACTGACTGACTAGGCGTACTGCATAGAGGGTGGTGGTGCTGCTGCTTCTAGGTGCCTAGTCGATCCCGCGGCACTTTGGGATGGTAAACTACATCGGACGATATATCAGCATCGCGTGGAGTGCGCTATTGTTCAACCCATAGCCCTCACAGACTGTATCCCGTCGCGCAAGTAAGCAACATCGGCTATTCTTTATCAAAATGCACACAAAAAGAAAAGTTGAAAGAAGAAGACCTGCGATACCGGAAATTGATAAGGGAAAACTTCATGATTAGGTATTACGGGTGTTTGGTACGTCGTCAAGCCAAGTCGACGCTGTGAAGCACGCCAACGTGGAGAAGACGTCACTTCCGAATGTCTCTCGATGGTTACCTAGAACAAGTCTTGGGGAAGCACTCGGCAAACGTGGTGGGAGTGTTGATTTAAACATGAAACATTACCATCAGCCACCGTTCTAAAACATTCAGGAAGGAAAATAAAATAAAAATATATGAAGAAACATGCTGCTGTGGCTAGCCTCTAGGAAGTTTGTCCGAATGCTGTGGCACACTCGAGGTGTTGCCATATCGGATAGTGTTGGTTTCACCGATTAACTACAGACTTTGGGACTCTATCATGATTCGGTGGCGGAGAGTTGATGAGATTGGGTTTGAGATCTCCAGATCAGCCGTCTGCCTGCCTGCTGCCTGCTGCTTGCTGCTTGCTGCTTGCTGCTGCTTCTGAAGTTCTACTACGTGACATTAACATGATCTCGTACGTACATGCGTCTACGTGCATTAGAGTAGATACATGGTCGATAGGGGGGAGGGGGGTGAGACCTATAGGGGAGACCTCGTAAGAGACCTTTACTTTGGAGACTACCTAGCGCCAAGCCTCCCGGCTACGAATTCAGGCTTCGGCAGCGGCGCAGCTATAAATATTCTGTGTAAATTGCGTCATTGAGCGATGGCGGCGTTCTTCTTCTTCTTCTTCTTCTTAAAAAATAAAAAAAAGCCACATCCTTTTGCATTACATCCGTTGAAAAAAGCAATATGGTTTTCTCCAGAAAAAAAAAATATGGAAAATAGAAAATAACTAACTAGGTAAAATGTTGTGATACGTTTGTCCACCCAAAGTCAAAGAGAGGCTATCGACGCGGCAGGAATCTAAGCTAAAAAAGATCAAATTGTGGATGCTCGGCCGCCTGCAAGAGCGGGTAAACAGGGATCTGGGAAATCTCCCGCTCTGTCGTGCCATGCAGAAGCAACGGACGAGCAGGTCATGGTAGGCTGGTAGGCTGGTAGGCTGGTAGGCACGTCTGAGCGTTCCTCAGTGGGTCGGCAGCTCGATAGACAGATCGTGGAGTGCACTCCTTGAAAAGAATCTGCCGAGGGAGGAGGGCAAGCAAGCCATGGGGGTTTGTTAGTGTCGATGCCGCCGCCTACTACAAACTACACTATACACTATACACTATACACTATACATACATTATACTCCCTAACAGTACCTCTTTTCGCCGGGCGGGATGGATTCATGGCTGTGCCAAACTGTCAAAGAAAGGCTTACGCTTGTGCTCCCGCGAGAAGCATTAAGCAAACACCTCTTATTACCTACTCGGTTCCATGGTTCGGACGGTTGCAGACGGCGAGTGTGGGGTTTTAAGCAAGCCACACTTACACGAGGAAAGATAAGGACACCTTAGTTTAGATCGAGGGGGAAGAACACACACACAAAAAAAAGAAAGAAAAAAAAAAAAAAGAGGGATGCGACGCGAGAGAAGACGCGACTGCTGCATGCCGAGTATAACCCTGTCATCCTGTCAGCCTGTTTTAAAGCAAGCTTGGAAATTCATGGAGGGGACCCCCCCCTAGGCAGATATGTACATACGTACATGGCGTAGGTAGTAGGGGGGGATCCATGGATGGGATCGTGAGCGTGGGGCGAAGACATGGACCCGTAGGCGGCTTGGGCGGTAGCATTTAAGATAGAGTGGGGATGAGCAGGGCGCCAAGATTAAGCATGATTTGCAGATGGTCTGTGGGTTCACGGCTCCAAGCTTTTGAACATTCATTGTGTCAGCTGGTTGGCCGGCAAGACCTCATCTCATAGCTTCGACCAATGGCGGCAGCGAGACCGTCCCTCATCCTCAACACCGACCCCCCTAACCTAGCCTAATGCTCCTCATTGTGCTCCCCTCCTCTACTATAGTAGTGTAGTGTAGTGTAGTGTATACTCTCTTCCTCGCAGCCATCGCTTCACACCATCCTGCCTTGTCTAGTTAGTATAACTCGCTTCCCAGCGCCTTCTGGGGCCGCTATAATCGTTCTTCGCTCGCCCCATAGTTACCTATGTATTAGAGGCTCCCCACCGGTCACATGTACATATGTAGTCCTATACACTAGAACGCTGATAACCCCAACCATCGCCTATCTATACTCGAATGTCTGATATAGATCTGGAAGGTCTAGCTGACAGACAGATATCATTTCTGATCGTACAGCAAAGACGGCTAGTGGAAATTGAATCGCAAGCAGAACCAAACCAGACCGCGAAGAGAGATAGATGAGGGGTAATCTTAACTTGACGCTCGACGGAACACATCCGTTCCCGGTCGTCCCTAAGTGCCGGGGATAACAAGGCAATAGGTAAGTCAAACCTCTGTTACGCCATGCGTACATGGCATTGTATTATTATTATACATCCGGTGTTCGTCCAAGGCAGAGAGTATGTCTAGTTTCCTGCTTTCTTATCACCCACCGGCTTCTTCCCCGTGATATTCGTCTAGGTTAAAGAGGTAATTATACTATACATACAAGTAAAATTCGTATCTTACGATTTCTATTTCTCTTCGGTCTGTGTGTATTGATTTCCTTCCCGCCGGTTCCGATTTATTCCTGGTGGTTACTGAGACCTTTGAGTCCAAGCCTCTTTCTATAGTCCACAGCTACCTCTATTGTGGCCTAGTTCTTCTCAGCTGTGGCGCACTTTCGCATAAGCTATATATGATATGCAAGGATTATATTTGGCAGGCCAATCATGGCTTGTTTCGACATGTGTCGGCCGTGATGGAAGCCGGTCAGAGTCTGTGTTCGGCTCGTCTGATCATTGGTCCCAATGCTCAATGACGCTCTCCGGTTCCATCTTATACTTTTCGATGGGTCTTCCGACATATCGTGAAACGTCGACATGTTGATTTGTTTCTTCAGCAAGACTCTCGATGGTCGATGGTCGCTCGTTTGATGCCATGTGAGCTTGTGTGATATCTGTGAGCTCATAATCAACCGGGTCGTCGCAGCTCCCCACACGCCGGGATGACCTTGGTGCATCGGCAATCGTATACGCATCTGTCTTTATCCATGGATCCATGGCTAGATCCGTGATCGCTGCTCTTTTTCTGGTCCTTGTCGTAAACAGATGATCGGCCTCCTGATAGTGGGAATCTGATAGAGCGACTCGTGACAGATGAGAAGAAGCTGGCAGGTTGGTATCCGGTGCCAAGCGGAGCTCATGCAGGTCGACGAATAGGTGAAGCTACATGTAGCTAGACCTTGGCTGCAGCATCGTGCAGGAAGAGAAGTAGACGGCGTAAGGCCTCGTCCTACCTAACCGTTTTAGTCCGTATGACACATGGTCCTCTGACATGAGGGCACCCCTGCGGTGCGCCACAATAGCCCGAGTTTACGAAGGTCGTAGGTCGATCACGTGCCGCTGCTGCCGGGGAAAGGCGCTCGGCGCGCGAAGCGCGCCGAGCGCCTTTCCCCGGCAGCAGCGGCGGACAACCTCGAATCTTAAGCTTTGCTAAAATTCTTTTAAGAAATAAAAGATAAAAAAAAAGGAGCATGTGGGATTCGAACCCAGGCCCTTGTAAAACTTGGATTACTTTACTTTAGGTATGTAATGCGTGGCTACGTGATTGGTGACCGTGGCTAGCCAGGCTATGGCAAAAAAAAAAAAGATACGTATTTCGAGAAAAAGATGAAAGTGGGGATCTGGAAGAGCACGTGAGAATTCGAGGATGCACCCAATAAAAACGCTCGAACGCTGCGCACGGACGAACTTCCTATTTCGAAAAATGGCCAGGCAAAAAGATCGTCTGACAATATCCCTCGTAAACTCGGGCATAGGTAACATCTCACAAACTCTGTGTTTACGTACAGAGAGATACCCGGATCATGTATGCTGAACCCCTTTACACGAGATCCTGTAAATCTTAAGTATACAACTGTGTTCAAGTATGTCCTATGTATCTAATTCCACCGCCGCGAATTAAAAGCGTGTACTACTGGTGTTTGTGTGACGGACAATTCTAGGTACCGTATATAAACTTAAGGGGCAATGTATCTATTCTATATGTAGGCATATAAAATTACTTGTAAGTGAAATTTGCGTCATGGCGACGACAATGGCGCTTAACAGATCACTAGACCAAAATATCAGCTACCTATTTGAGTAAGTCTATTAGGATTAGGAAGTCAGCTTAGCTGATAGAAGAAACGAGACAAGGAGTTCAAAGTCTAGACTAGATATGCAGTTAGCATGCTGAATGAAAGTCCGAGAAATAGAAGAAGCCGCGTGTATACACGGAGAGGAGTGGTGTGGATTCGCATCATATCGGTACCAGCTGTAAGGTTGATGCAGCAATATTGATTGACCGTGATATGGGGTTTCCTAGTAAATGCTCCATGGCATCGCCCTCATAGAGCTAAAACATATACGACGACTATGTTTGTAATCTCGACAAATCCTCTCTACGGGACTACGGGTGATATTATTAAAGTAGACGTTGCCGAAAAAGCCAGTCCCACAAGGTCGGTTCCTACCGCCATGGCGTTTGGCTGCTCGCCGTCTTGGCGCGCCTAATATTGCTGAGGACTGGTCGAATCCGTGGCGGCCTCCGAGATGTGGCGTTCTTTAAGCCAATTAAGATGCCACTGAGTCGACTCCGAAATAGTTGGAGACTGTGATTGGGCTTCTAGAGCTAAAACAAGATGGGGCTAGCTAGTTCTGTTGTTTGATGTTGAAACTGAATCCCTTTCGCTCATCGATGGCCAGTGTTGTTCTACTGCTCAGCTATCGACTACATACTATCAACCACATACTTAATATTAGGTAACTTAGTCAATTACGTTAGTATTCTTGTTAGGTCTAGTTAGTAAAATTCATTCTCTGGGTACGGTCATGCGGAGAGGTAAGTAAGGGCGTGTGAAGCGGGGCAACGATGCATTCGCGATTCCCGGGTGAGGTGGGATTTGGATATGAGTCAACGCCCCCTGGGATGTTGAACAGATACGTACGTCTTGTCTGGCATGTGCTAAAGTGGCAGGGTTCTACCGCGCAGAAGGAAGTTATGAGCAAGTGCTGACGAAATATTACGTGGTTTGGCGGATATGGAGGAAGCTAATAGCAATAATAGCGAGCTACTGTGTGTCTTTGACGCCTGAGAACTACCCTCTCCTTGGAACGGGGAGGATGAACTTGATGTTCCCTTAGGTAGCAATGATTCTAGACAAGCCCCTCGTTTCCACCTTCTAACCACACATCTCCCCTATCTATCGGCGACAGCCTTGCAGCTAGGCAACTGAGAGATTTGTCTATTATTAGTCCTTGTTCGTACGGCGTGCCGTTCAATCAAACAGCGTATGCTGATATGAGGCCATTGGCCACTTAGCTTGTATAGCGACCCAATCAGAACAGCGTTCCATTTAGCTGTACTTGCGCCAGCGACAGAGAATATGGGTTTGACTAGCGCCCTTTCAAACTGAGCAGATGTCTCCAAGAAGAATACTATGCTGACATTTGCATTTTGAAGATGCCGTAAGCCAGGCTTACACGGTTGGGACAGTTGGGACAGTTTACATGTAGACGGACCAATGTTGGTAGCTTAAACCCCATCCTGCATGAGGTTATGCAGGTAAGAAGGAATAACGACAAGACGTCAAGCGAAATATAGTAGCTCGACGCGTATGTCGCTTACATAGTGATAGCGATGGTATCTTTCGCGTTTTAGCGGCAAGCTCATTTCTTATTATGTTGGTTATGTTAATTATCGTATTGTTACTTATGATCATGTCGAGTATGCTAGAAATGGCGGGACGGACAGATGACGGACAGATGCTTCTTTAGCAATGCTGCCTTCGGATAGTCCACCTGCCGACTTATTAGCTATACAAACGTGTAACAAACAGCCGATATACACGACTTCATTCGTGAGAGAAATAACCCTTGTGCCAACTAACCACTTAACCACTTATCTATTCTCATCCCGTATTTCATGATTCTGAAATTCTGCGGCCGCCACCCGCTTTTTCGATTCATCCTTTCTTTTTCAGATAGCAGATTGGTAATTTTCTACCATGTACCTCCACCGAACTGCAGTTGTTAGTAATTAGGTCTGAGACTGGTGAGACTCTGCATTGTCCTCGTGTACACTCGAAACCTATCCAGGGTCGATCAGGATGGTACCCGCGATTGTCCGGACTCTTGCCCCACAGTCAAGCTAAAAAGTTCCGTAAGAGGTAATGTTGCTGGGTGTGTAAATAATTATTTTTTATTTTTTTAAGAAAGAAAGAAAAAAATTACTTAAATTACCCCAGTTCTGAATTTATCATATGTATGGAGGAGGCAGAGCTGAGAAAGGGTGCCTAATATACCGTAGTAGTAGATCAGAAGCGCCGAGAAATATGATCGGAAACTGCGGCTCACGTTTTTCGCTCGGGCAAAAAACCTTGTGCACGGAATATGTCCAACTAATGCTAGATCTAAAGTTTATTTTCTGAAGGGTACATACCTAGGTAAATTATAGTTCACGGTCTTTTCACCTGCTGCACCTTCCATAACGATCAATTAATTGGGAGAGTCCCGGCCTTGAAACATTCGGCCGGGTCAAATCTTCCCGCAACTCCACCGATGCGCCGATGAAGCCGTTTGTATCTTTGTATTCGGGTACTTTAAATGGGCACCTTGAGATGTGTAAAATGTAAAAAAAGGACCCTTTGAAAAAGTGTCTAGCCATGTCCGATAGGTTAGGCACGTTTTACCTACATAGTACGTAGTATACGTAATATATTCATACCTATAATAAGGCACAATCTGTATTATGCCGAGTATGATACCGTATGATATTCCCATTTAGCCCAGATAGCGATCGTATCTAATAAAATAAAAACAGCGAGTGGCACGGCCTGTAAAGCTTAGGTACTTATCTATATGTGACTCTATATGTGACAATTGCAAATTTACTACATAATATATCGATTCCTTTAGTCCTACCAAAAATATGTAGTTACTCTTAATATCCTATTTAAAGTTTACATTGCACCCGACGAATTGGATAAATTGTAACCTCGTGGCTACTTGGTCGTTGGGGGTCCGTCCGACTAGCTTTTAATGCGTGTAAATGTGCCTGCCAGGTTGTTAGTGTTTTTTTAGAATTATTCCTGTCAAGATAGTTCAAACGGGATGCCGGTCAAACTAGCAAGAACTAGCAAGAACGTCAACCTTCATCGGCGACTTAACCTCAAACCTCTCTGAAATGTCTACACAGCTAATCCGTACACACATATATGCGAGGGAATAATGTACATACATGTACAAGATTATCAGGTGTTACTATGTAAAAGATGATGAATTTAATGGTATGCTAATGCGGAGCTTATCCAACTCGGGTAACTTTACTCACCACACACACGCTTCGTGTTACCATGTGTACTTGCTAGGTATGAATCATCCGTAGCGCCCAGTCGGATTGCTGGTTCAATGTTTTATTCCAAAGTCCGAATCACATCATAAACCTGAAGTTTGAAGCTGCACGATGAAATCCAACGGCCGCGGCTGGATTCCCACAGTACCATTTACGCATTCGAACCGTTCTCTTCGGCAGCTCGTGTGTATCATATGTAAGGCTGAGCCTGGTTTCCAATACGAAAAAAAAGGTGCCATAAAAGGCGGCATATTGGCGATCGACTTGGTCATCTCTCAGCTCGTAATGCAAGACGAGAACTGGTCGAGCCTCGTCGGATTGAAGTTTACATGGTATAATGTAAGTTATCATTTTATATAGTTAATCATCGCTATTTTCGCAACAATTATTGCCACACCCGAGACTTTTAGCAACGAACTATACGGTCTCGCTTATTCTTTAGCAACCTATAACTTATCACTACTACTACAACTACTACATGGCCACGGTACATCGTAGCTTTGCAACTGGGCAAGCATCTGCACTCTGCACTCTGCACTCTGCATTCTCATTCGCCTACACCCCCCAGCTACTTACATACATGTATGTAGTTGCCAAGATGCCCAGCTATGTATGTAAGTATGTATGTACATATCATCTACAGGGTCCCCCCCTTGCAAAGCATCCCCCCCGTTGCCCCGTTCATAAACATCCCTGTCCCTTGTCTGCGTCTGGGCTTGCACAACCCCCGGTCATCCTCTCTCTCTCCCCCCCTGTTCCTTCGTAGGGACCCTTGGCTCTGTTCGGCCACTCTTCTCGGCGTTGCTGATTACTGTTCATCATCCATTCGCCATCCGCATAGTCCCCATTGATTTATGGTCGCATTCTGTTACTCTATCGCTGCTTGCTGCGCGTTTTCCGACTAACCTGCTAACTTTATGGACCTTGTCCCGTCTCTATATTCTATCATCTACTGATCCTGGGTCGCGGGGCGCCTTTGGAGATAAACCCGTATCTGGCCCTACACTATCCAGCCAGCACTTGCATACCCGCTCTTGCGTTTGGCTTTAATCCGCATTATACACATGCTCTCTTATGCTATATGCTATACTACCTCGCCTTTCTCCCCTCTCCCATATCCCATATCCCATATCCCATATCCCATAACCGTTGCAACGTACGGGCGCAATACACTTTGAAGCAAGCCTACTCTAGTTCGCAGCCGCACGTCGCGTTGTATTGCACGTACCTGTTATTATTAGCGTTTCCCAAGAAGCAAACGAAACCGAAACTCAACGCCAGCCATCCTGAGAAGCTAAGAGTGCCCAGCTTCAAACGCGAAATAGTCGTCGGCTCTAAGCCTGCTTCTATTTAATCCTTGGACCGAAAAGAGGTAGCCCGGCAGAGGCACGACACCATCTGGGCTTGGCTTCCCGTTGATCCACCCATCCATCTCTTTCGTACAGGTGCCGCCTATCCAGTCGTTATCAGCTTTTGTCTGTACATACTGCTGCCACCCACTGCCACACCACACACCCCAGATTTCTAACTCGCAGCCTGCCCTGTCCGTGCCTATCATTGCAGTTTGCGATAGTCTCAGAGCAGTTCAACAGCATCTGAAACCAGGGAAAAAAAGAAAGAAACATAGCAATATCAATATCGCTATTATTGCAGATACTAAGGACGAGGGTTTTGCGCGTTGGGATTCTAACGCGACTCTTATATCTTTACCTACTTGGCCGACCTTGGAGTCTTTGGACTAAAATAACCCTCGTACCCGAGAGGTCAATCTTTTCCCCTCTCTCCCACCTTGATTAACTACTCCCACTACTACTACCACATACAAAAAGCCTTACGGACTTATGAACGGGGCAACTTTCCCGGAGCGAGAGGCAAATCACAACATCTAAACAGATCGGCACTAGAAATCAGAACTATCCGTTAACTAAGATTACACGGCAAGAAGAGAGAAGAGAAGAGAAGAGGAAAATAAGTAAAAGACATAAGCGAAGAGCATATCGATTTAACATCCATTGTCTTTTAGAAGCGCACAAATCGCAGTTCGTTTGAAGTCGTTTGAAGTTGTCAGAGCCGACCAAGGCCATTTTTACATATTATTCATATTATTCATATCATTCATATCATTCATATTATTCGCCGGCCACATTCCACTCAGTAGTACCGAAGCTAGGTACCTGTACTCCCCGGTTATAAGTACATCATACATGCGCTACATACTGAGCTACATACTGAGCTACATACATACGTACGGGTACACTACATACATAAACTACATCCATGGTATCGACCCCGATACGAAGACTTGAGAAGTCGGGTTTGCGCCAAATCTACCAACCACATGCGCGAGTAATCTGCATCGTCCCCCTCGAAGCAAGCACACTTTGCCATCTTTCCAAGATCTACTACCCTCGCCTTGTTGCGCGCGTCATTCACCCTTCCTCCGCCCTTTTTTTCTAGTCCAACTATATCAAGACACGTCGCTCTGCAGGCACAGCTTTCTCCACGTCTCGTCCGCCGCCTGACGTGCAACATCGCATCGTCGCTCGAATGTATTCCACCCAGCCTAACGGCGCTGAGGGTGCGACCATCAATCCCGCAACTATCAACCCTGCTGCTCTCAATTCTGGTGAGTATGAGTATCCGCGCATTTAATCCAAGCCTCTCCTTTTTTTTTGCCTATCAGCCTTTTTTAATTCTTTTCCTTTTTTGTATCGCCGCGCGCCATCTTTTGCGCGCCGCTGTTTTACTCGAAGCTTGCTTGAGCTTTGAGCTTTGAGCTTTTCAGCTTTTCAGCTTTGAGCTCGTTCCCGTAGCCGCCTTCGTACATATCATATCCTTCTCACCTAGCCACGAATGATCGTCATCGTCATCATTTATCCGTCACTTCACATTCCGCTCTAGCGAGCACGACGCGACTGTGATTTACTTTTAAAACAATCACCGTCGCGATGGCATATACCTGCCTGTCGTTCCGATACCGTTTTCTATTTAATTCAACGGTCGTCTTGTCGTTATCTGATCGCCGATTACTGATCCAAAGCTTCTGATTGCGCAGAATTATTGAATCCAGGGTCCCGAGGTCTCAAGAGAAGTCGTTCTCCGGACTCTTACCACGACGCGCCGTTGTCTGAGATTCCCGGAGATGATGGTAAGCCGCCGTCCCGCTCTTGTGTACCCTATTGATCATGGTTGCCGCTGTGCGCATCGTGCGTTATGTTACATCATGTTGTCGTGCAACGGGCTGCCGCAAGGAGCTACCTGCTAACATTGTTCGCCGTATCGCAGGTGATTCGAAGCAGCCTAGAAAACGCGGCCGACCGATGAAATCGCGAATTTCTGGTGACCTCCCGGAACCACCGAATCAGACTCAAATCCTCCCTCCTCCGCCTCCCGCTCAAATGTCGCAGTCTATACCACCACACACTCCTCAATCTCAGAATGCCCCGCTACCCGGACAGACCGGGGCTTATACTCCGGCTCAAGCATCACCTCCGCCGAAGACTACGCCCACCAAGACCACCTTGAAGGCGCTACCGACCGTGCGCGATCACACCACGGACCAGCTCGGACCTGGTGGCGATGAATACCTGCCGCGCGAAATTGATGATTCTGGCGAGAAGAAGGTTATGCCCAACGGCCAGCTGCTAGGAGGGCGAGAGTATCGATGCCGAACCTTCCTTGTCCCTAATCGCGGTGATAAATTATTTATGCTCGCTACGGAATGCGCAAGAGTTCTAGGGTATAGAGATTCTTATTTGCTCTTCAATAAGAACCGGTCCCTCTTTAAGATCATTGCGAATCAAGTCGAAAAGGACGATCTCGTCACACAGGAGATACTTCCATTCTCGTACAGGTCGAGGCAGATAGCTATAGTCACAGCGCGATCCATGTTTCGCCAGTTCGGGAGCAGAGTTATAGTTAACGGACGGAGAGTACGAGATGATTACTGGGAGCAGAAGGCGAGGAAGCAGGGTTTTACGGAGGCTGACCTTGCGGGAGAGAAGAGACCAGGCGCGTCTAAAGCCAGAGAAGCAGCAGCTGAGGCGAATAGCAGCATGGCGTCCCTTCCAGGAGCCCCTCACGGTGAGATTGTATATGCGAATACTCCCCCATTCGGCGGTGCTCCGCAACCCCTTGTTCAACCAGGTATGATGGGACCGCCAGGAAGCTCGACCAGAATGCCCATGATAACAGTAGGACCAGATCTGAACGATACAAGGACTCGAGACTACAGCAATTTCATCAAAGGTGGCCCTCGACAGGAGATTACCGGCCCGGCCTACCAGGATAGGACGCAGTCCAGTCCCATATCGGAAATAAACCAACAGGCACACCATGCTGCCGAGTTCAATCGAAGCGTCAACCAACAGCGCGATATGCGGACCGACTACATGAACAACTTATGGCGGAGACCTCATGAGCAGCCACCGACTACTCAACCCGTAACGACCGAGCCTTCCCTACCCACGACGCGTCCCGGCCAGTCGCCTCACGCCGCGCCGGCGAGTATGCAGACGTCTGGCATCGTACCGAACCAGAGCCCGCAGATGATGATGACCGCGCCTCCTTACTCGCAACCCATCCACTCTCAGCAGTCGATTAGCCAACCGCCGATGCGGGGAATCCCCCAGCCGTCTTCCCAGAAGCAGTCGAGACCCTCCAACATCCAGCCTGGTGCTTCCGGCAACATGTCTCAAGGGGCCCCGGCATACAACTACGGCTCTTCGAACCAGATGTGGGGGCCTCCCCAAACACCCCAGACGCCTCAGCATTATCAGGGGTATACAACTCAGTCGCAACAGTCGCCTCACCCTCAGCAGTCGCCAGCTCCGCAGCTGCGTCATTCAGGAGGCACTCCCCAGATGCAGCCCAGTACTATGCAGTACCACGGGATGCCAGGGATAGGGCAGAGTTATCCCAACCCGGGCCAAGGCATGTATCCCCCTGAGCAGACACCCAGGCAGTTTATGCCCCAAAACCCTGGGCCTGGACCAGCCGTGACGTCGGCATGGAATACCCCGCAAACTTCAGCTGGCCAGACGTGGTGGGCGAGCCAACCTCAGTGATGACATTCAGACTTTTCAGTTCATAAATCAGAGCCACTCTAAACCCAGTTTTTAGCAACACTGTCACTTACATCTAGGCCGCCTTTCGCGCTCTGTACGTTTATGCGAGGAGGCCTGAAACATAACCACCATTTTTTTTTCAACTTTCACACCTTTGGGATGGTTCTTTGATTTGATGGGGCTATAAACCTGCTTGCACTATTTGGCCTAGCTCGGCAATAGAGGAGTAGGAGAATATTTGGTCGCATTTTTTGGGGGCTTCACCGGATTTACGTTCCTTCGGGCAAGGTTGGAACTGGTAGGCTGTATTGCCCCTGCGCTTCACGCTGCATGATGAGACTTCAGCCAGCCAATCGTTTTGTCAAGTTCGGTTCTCAGACAGCATTTTGCATATACACTTGATACCACCGAGGCTTTGGTCGTTTCTACGCTATCCTCTCATACGCTGTCCTTCATTCGTTTCGGTCAGATGCTTACTTGTTTTGTTTTCTGCGATACCCTTTACACCACAGATGCTCGCAAACCGCTTTGGCTATCAAACTGCGGACTACATGCAATATCATGTTGCTCGCAAGGTGAGATTCGGAGAGGTGGTATACGCTCGCATACTTTGCGGTACAGAGCGTAAACATATGTTAATTTCTCGCCGGGTTTTGTGGCATGATACCATTCTTATACCGGCTCTCCCCGCTGGTTGACTGCTACGAACCTCGGGAAATTAACTATGAGCATACTTTCGATCTCCCTTATGGCAGCTTGGTCATGAATTAGGACTGGCGGCGCCGGGAGCGGCTCGGCTTGGCTGCCAGTACCGTCCTCGGTGCCAGTCGCTGATGGTCATGGCATTGCATAAATGGCGGAGGGGTACATCTTTTTTACGGTCATGGGCTAGGGAGGTTTTTTGCTAATTTTATTTCTACGTTCTCCTTTATTCTTTATTACTTGGCCCTTCGGTATAATGTTATCTTGTCTTTCATGGAGGAAATTGGAAGCAGCGCACGTATCAATCAGTTAGCATTGGAGGAGTTTACTCTATTTCACCACTGTTCTTGAGTAATTTCACTATCGTTCGGGCTTAGGTATCTACACAATACGGGATCGAACGGATTATTCGATCAGGGGCGGTTAGACTCTTGCTCATTGATTGAGTTCGGGTGTGGCTGTCTGTCTATTCCCCATGAATGTTTCTTGTGGGCTTTCGGAGGGTCGAATTTGCATCATAAGGGATACCGGGATTTCTTGTATCGAGCTTAGGTCGTCATCCGGAAGGGAGAGAGCCTACTGCCGATTGTGCTCAGATTTTAGTCTAGGCGGAGTTGCGCGCGGAAGGCAAGGCATCAGAGCGTAACAGGGTAATACAAATAAATATTCGTTGGAATCCGGAATCGTCATTTGACTTTAGATACTTGTGACCGTCTTTTCTGGATCTACGAGAATGTGCTACAAGCGATCGTAGTTGAGCAGTAGCAACAGTCCCTCGTATACCAGATCCGCACTTATTACCACGTATAGACGAGTGGCGGAAGGCCCTTATCCTATCTATCATACGGATGTTAACCGCAATATCCCTTGCGTAGAAGCGCGACGATCACCGGCCAAGTGCCGTATCGAGCTCCAGAACGAGGAAAGAATCCCTTTGGCCATGATAGATAGGTATACAATTACGTGTTGAATCTCATGATGATCGCCAGCTCCAGGCTAGAATCCTACGTAAAAAGGGAGCTGCATAACGCTTCTCGATGCCTTCCGCGGCACACACAATTAATCAGCCGATGGATGGATAGATGGATGGATGGATCGCTCCAGACCGGGCTCTTATATACATGCCTTAGTCGTACATATACGTTACCTTGTGCATACATATATGTGCGTGTTATGTATGTATATGTATGTAGGTACGCTGCCCTAATAAATCATGCTCCACGTCGACGCATGCCATGCCGCATATATGTAGGTCCTAGGTATGTATGTACTTACTTACATAATGCCTACATTACCCATACCACGCCATGCCATGCCATATGTACATACCTCAGGCAACCCCTACCGCAACGTTCCAGACGTTCGGATCCAGCGGGACGGGAACGAGCAGAGCAATAACGCGGCGCGTGGTAAATGTAGGAGTCAGACAGCAGAACGACAGGCAATTCCCACGAGAAGAGCATGTAGGTAGGTAGGGAGGGTTAGGTTAGGTAGGTAGGTAGGCTGGTATGTAAGATGAGGGGGGGTGGGCAGCCAGCCAGCCAGCCAGCCATTGCGTACATAACACATACATTATGCGCATTACATAGCATACCACACCACACACCACACGCCACACGCCATTGAACCAACCGTACGGAGATCTGACTCAGCCCTACATTACCAATGAGAGGGTACCCCGTGCGAGTCCCATGCTTCTGCCGGTATCTTATATACCTACTTCTTATTCAACCTGGCATATATATATGAGGTACATACATACACAAATAAAACTTACTTAACTACTTTATTATTTCCATATCCGCTTACTTACACAACCACAACGCGCCTCCGATTCGACGCGGGGAAGGATGAAAGAGAAGGAGAGAAAGGTTGTCCTATTTGGGGTTGAATTCTGGGCTTATGTGCACTTCGTATGCATATCTGACGGGTTATGAACTGTACTGACTTACATACATTACATACGTACCTAGGTTAGGTACCTAATGTATGCGATATATCCCCAGAGAGCGAACGCGCTCTCTATCCCCGGGTCCGCGATGGGCGGATCGGTATCCCTGCCGTCTGTTGATAAGTTTTATTTTTATTCATTTTTATTTTTTCTCTTTTTTCTTTCTTGCGTGTAAGAATTTACGGTCAGACGCTGCTACGCGCTTGAATTTCCGACGGCTTTTCTACGTCACCTCTATACGGGTACATTATGCATATACGTAATAGGGAAATGCTTTATATAGTGTATATGGAAGTCTAGTTGTCCAAAGGGTAATTCCAAAGTTTGTTCGTTCGGCAGACGGGCCAACTGCGGCGGTAACAGACAGACAGATAGCGACTATGACGATCATTTGGCCCCCGACACCACTATGTATCTCTATGTATGTAGGTATGTATGTAGGTACATACTACCCCCATGCCCTGCTCGCGATCGTTTAACCTAGCTCGATCTACCCTCGGTACACTACGCGCGTGGTGGAGTTTGTTTCTTCGGTTCAAGCACACGTGGGTCGATCGCGTTGTGGTTGGATACCAAGATACGACGGCGGAAGCCCGAGCGTACGGTTTCACCGCCTCTTTTTATTTCTTTCTTTTGTTCTTTTTAGCTCTTTTCTTTCTTCTCTGGTCTAGCAGGGAGATAGGTAGATGGGAGATTTGGGGGCCGTCGAGGCGCAGGGCAAGGGTCTTCTGGGCCGAGATTTTGTTCCCGCTGGTTCGTCGGATATTACGGGAGTACCTAGTGTATGGCTTGCTGGGTCGCTGGGTATGGTTTCTTATTACGATGGAGCTGGACCAAGCCCGGTCGAGCAAATTAGACCCGACACGTGGGAGCCCGGACTATTTAGGCGGACTCGAGAGTTAAATCCTCCGGGTTTTGTATATTTTTGTACGTATATTTCTTATTTCCGTACGAGATAGGTCGGTTGAAATGCTGTGTATGAGCTCCATGTACATATCTCGTATCTCTTAGCCTGTGAGGGGTTAGCCATTCACGGGTTCAAGATGCCGAATACATTAGAAGAGTTAGAAAGGATATGATGTCCTCATCGTTAAATCCTCTACATAGCTGTCCGTGTCCCCGGCTCCTGATATCTCGGTTAATCCTGGTAAGCCTCCCTTTCCCTGCTGCCGGTACTCCATACGAACACCCCCTTTCGACAAATGATACCCTTAAAAGCGGCAATACGGCTGGTATCGCTGCATTATAATCATCGCATATAAGCCAGCCCAGATGCAGATGATATCTGACACAAACGCATCCAGGGCTGCCAGACTGGGTGTCAAGATAAGAGCCGTGGATGTAATGTCAGAGAACAGATAGACCCGGTCAAAATAATCACATGAAAAGCATTGAAGGTATCTGAGCGATTCATCTCGGAAATAAGACAGATTAATTATATAATTCTTAAAGAGGACATAGTGTATACTACATCGTGAACAGAGTTTAGGCACTGTATATCAGCATCTTCATATAGCTATCAAATCTCAACAAATACTCATAACAAAGTCCAAGACCGTGTCTGGCGGGGGCACTGCCGTGATTAATATTTATGCCGATGACAATAATAGTGTGAAGTTTCGTATCTTAGATGGTCCGTCGAGCCTTATTATCACCCTTACACTAGATACTAAAGACATTTGATAAACTCGAACATAGTGCAGGTTAAACTATTGGTTTTCATTAAAGGCACTGTAGTCATTAATCGTTTGCATAAATCGGTTGATAGATTTATTGCCTTAGGAACCTGTGTAACAACATGCCAACTTAAAGCCAATGCAAGTAATAGTTGTATAGACTTATTAATAGTTAACGGAAGTTAAAAACTAGTTTTTTTAACAACCATTAAGCATTAAGCGGAAATTTAAAGTACCGTGCTATGTTATAAAACAGTTTATGTAGTAAGGTAATTACATAAAGTCAAAACTGTTAAAATGAGAATAATTAATAATTGGTAATAATTTAAAAAATGTGTATATATATAAAGTTTAAATAAAGTTTTAATCAAGTATAAAATGTATATTAAAACTTTTTAACATTATATTTAACATTTTACTTATTATTATATAAACAATAATGTTAAAAGATTATTAGTTAAAAAAAAATAATTAATAAAAAATATAAAATAATTATTTTAAAATTTATTAAATAAAAAATATTATAAAATTATATAATTATATGTAAACGAAGTTAATATATTAATAAAAATTTAATTAAATTAAAAAATATGTATTTTAAATTATTTATAAATAAGTTAAGATTTTTTTTTAAAAAAAAAAAAAAAATTAAAGATTTTAAAACTTTAAAA